ATCGCACCGAAGACTTCCCCAGCAGTTTTGTAAGAAGCGTTTGTTAAGGGAGTAGAACTTTAGCCTGCCCAGTGTGCAATATGCATAGGAGTTAAGACGGGCATTGGATGCTAGGAGGTAAAGTAGGTGGGTCTTAACTCGGATGGGCTCATTCTTGGCAGGGGTAGAGCTCTTCTTCATCGTCAGGTTCATTCGTAAATTTTCGCTTTGCAATTCTTTTAATGTTTGCGGAAATCAAGCAGGCACAAATTAAGTGCGGTCCAAAGTAAATATAACGAATGCATGTTAAGCGTCGTGGTATTACGAGCGTATTTCCACTGTCGTGGAGATAGAGAAAATTGAGCAGACGACAACTTGTAAGCAGCAGAACTGACAGTTGTGAGGTATTCCCGCCCTCGTCCGGTACTCCCAATCAAGAAACTTTGTTGGCTGAGAGGAATTGATGAGACAATTGTTTCCTCAATGGCTTTACGCTCGCCGAATTGTGTTTTTGACTGAACAAGAATTTTAACGCGAGCAAGCATCGGTTTCACCGCTACTTTCTCTCACACATTTCAGCTGTATTGAAGGATTACTTTGTCAGACAAGTGGCGCTTTTCATAGCGGAGGGATACATATCACATCAAAGTCGTTAACAGGTGAGTTGTTACTATTCACACATATTACTACTCGGAAATTAGTTTAGAAAGTTAAAATAAATTATAAACGGCTTGATTAACATTGTTTGATGTAACTTTTACCTGCATACTGTGTTTTTGTGGCTCGGTAGTATGATTTTGTTATTATGTATTTGATACATGCTCAATCGTGATTTTTTAGTTGCGATACTTTCGTAAGTAAAAGGCGCTTGGTTCTTATAATACAAACACTTTTGTTTCCACTATCTTCATATGACGAGTGTATGTGAATCTTAACGTGAACCATGAACTTACATGAATAAAACACTAGCGTCAACCAATTCAAATAAACTAGGGTTTAGTTCTATATTCATATTCAAAATCATGTCTGAATATCACATCCTTTTAGAAATAATAACGCGATTCATAAAACAGCAATATTACCGTATACCTTAAAATTGAAGATGAACATAATTCTAAACACACCAACCAACACGCCATGAGATTGAACGCAGTTGGGCGCATTCTCATATAGGCAAGGCAAATTCATTTCGAAATATCACACAGAATATTTTTTTACATATTTGTGGTTCAGTAAGTACATTATTTTAATATTTCGCAATAAATAAATAAAATATCTTGATCAAGTTAAAAGTAGTAATTGTGGTTTCAGTGTCATATAAAAGCTATGTATAACAGAGATATACATTCAGAACTGGTGTACACTTAAATAATCAAAAGTTCTATAAGTGACATCACAGGGAGTACATTAAACTGAAATGAGAGCGGATCTTAATCTCTCAAGGTTTTCTGAAGCAGGACTTTTTAAGATCGGGGTATTCTGTCTGGGGCTGTGATCGCACTGTTAAGAATCCGGACTTCCTGTTGGACGTGTCTTGCGATTGTTCTATGCGAATGTTCTGTGAGAACCGAGGTAAAGACAGAGTCCTTCCTAGCTGCAACATAATTTAAATGTGATTCACGTTGAGTCGAAAGAGAGATGTCGTAATCCCTTCTACATAGCGACATGTCGCAAATAGGATCAAGGCCGTTTGAAGTCACTGAGTGACGTCAGAACAGACACCATTTTCGGCAACACGTGATGAATTGTTTCATGGGGGGCCTTCTGCTTCACCCCCTTTTTTCACTCACGACAAACGGAAACCAGCAGTTTACACATTGAGAAGTGTTCCACGATCACCTGCTTCGTGTCCATCATCATCTCAGCCGCGCATGGCTTCTCAAAGAGCAGTTTTTGTCCTTGAATCAAATAATTCTTGAAATCAGAGAAGAAACGCTGACCCCATCTTGCCTTTTTTCGGTCCATTAAACAATCTTAATCAAGCGATCCCCAGAGCTACCGCTGTAAGAAATATACATGTCGGTGGCGATAAAGCAATTTTTTAAAACTGTCGATTGCTTCTACAATACAATACTTGTGACCCGAGCTACAACACCGAGTGTAATGATTAAACGTGTATCTTCTGTGTTAAACACGGAAAATTGTCCATTGATATCTCCCTCAAAACATTTTCAGTTGTGCCACAAATAATTCATTACTAATGAATATATATTTCCCTTGGCTTTGTCATCATAACGATATTAATTTTACTTTCTTATATTTGACTCTGACCCATGTATAAAAAAATCAAACTTAACATCGACTCACTTAACTTAACTTAACGTCAACTTGAATTTAGTCCTGTTACATGTTTCCTGGGAAGAGCGTTATATACTCGTCCCAGAATGTTGTCGTGCTATGTATCTGATCTCCAAAGATGCAACATTAACAAACTGGAAATTCCAAGTTTTGGTTAACTTTTGTGGTGGTTGGGTGTTGAAGGTGGAACGCTCGTTCCACAACCGATAATCCGAGACCGTAAACGTTATCGCGAAAACCTGGTAGCATCACAACTGGATAGTGATTCATTAACACATGCTTATGATATTGTCGGAATCGTAAAACGGACTCTTTTAGCAGATATTTATGATTATGGAAAGGGTTTTCGTAGCTATTATTATTATTATTATTATTATTATTATTATTATTATTATTATCAAAGCTGTGTTGGACCAAACTCACTCACGTGCATACCTTTCAGACTGTTAGTGCTGACATTATAGATATTGTGACTCGAAAAAGTAAATTTCATCCTGCTTCTAATACTACTACTTCATTTTCTTAAGACATTTTCAGCGGCACACAACATTTCCTCGCGTGATTAAAATGAATGTCTGGAAAGCAATCCCTGCTGCCATCCATTGACATCTTCAGTGCACATTGCGTGATGGACATACAATTATTTCCTGTACACCTAGTTTAATGTAACTGATCACCGCAATGATTCAACGCGAATTAAACAAGGCCCGTGTCTCTCAAGCATTAAAACATCTACTCCGTTTTCCCTTTTGGTGTTGCATGGACGGTTCATAAAACACATCAAGTACTGTCCTTTTTCTCACAGGGGAATATTTCATCGTCTCCATGTCACTGGTATTTGTGAAACACCTTCGTCAACTATTCACTTAATCACATGACAAAATGCAGATTCTTTGAATTCCCCATGTACATCCAGGCTGGAATATCATACAATAGATCTGTTAGTTGTTACCAGAACCAAATATTCCAACCGATGGATGACCAGCCAGTCGCATATCGTGGTGTATGTTAGACATACGTCAGTTATCCATGTAATATGTTAGGCTGAGTTTAGGTGCGGTGTGTGTGCGGTTGGAGTCGGTTTTACACGCCTTGCGATATCACACATCTGTCATAGTGATTGTTTCCTAGCTATTGTCTCCTGCTTATCCGAGGGTCGACGCCAGAAGCAGCCTAACACGTTGCATCCATTTTCCTCACCATCCATAGAACGACTCGGGCGTCAGCTGACGTCATCCGTTCGTAATTCGACATGCTCGCATTTCCTGGCTGTAACTTTATAAATCTAGGGTTAAAATCGGGTTAAAGGTTTCAGGTTTCAAATCGATAAACTGTTAACACAACCTTAATGTGCACGTTGAACTTTAGTATATAAAAAAGACTTTTTGTTTCTATTTTCTAAACTTTTATTGTTCCCAGAGTTGTAGAGTAATACAGTTTCCGTCAAAAACATATTTCGGACTGCATAGAATGACACGATACACTCACTCATTAAACATTCAAAGGGTTTGAAACAAACACTGTCATATTTCAAACCAAAAAGGTTGCAACACACAATCAGACTCAAGCATAGCATGTATCAACAGAGAGGTAAGAATCAAATACTGCGAATAAAAGTGATAATATTTTGTTAAAGTTATTTTTGTGATCCCTTTTTTATAGCAATAAATTTCTCGATTGAATATATGTTTTTAAGTAGTTTTGAAAATATATCTATTTTCGGTTTGTATAAAAATGACTTAGTAACGTATCGCCTTCGATATGCTTAATATCCTTTGTAAATTCACACTTTTCTCTCAAGTACGACTGTTGTAGTCTGTCCTGTGATTATTATCCAGTAGGTATTCACCACAGCAACACAGTGTCCACGTCAGGTTGATCGACTCGAAGCATCCCAAAATGCGAGTCAAGACTCCTTTAGATAGTATTTCATTGATAATACTGTCTGTGTTGTGTCAATGTTGTACAGTCACGGCATAAAGGGAATATCTTTTCAAATTGGCATGTATAATGCACCTACTTCACTACAGACGTGTAAAACTGTAACCAAGCTCACTAATTGTCCGTAGAAGATGCGAAGTGGACCACTATGCGTCAACAGCACAACGCCCGCGATGGTTCAAATACGCATATCAATAAAGTCACAGTCGAACACATATCTCCTCAACTCGATGTTTATTTTTAAAAATTTAAAATCTTACGTGTACTGTTTCCTGTGAAAAACAATACACTTTCATCCCCATCAGTTTCAGTCAAAGACTAGCAAAACCTTCGTTTAGTCAAAGTATTTTAAATTGAATCGAGTTGATTTAAAATTCTTCATGTTGTCTTATCGCATTTGATCAAGAAACTAATCAAATAATCCGAATGTCTCTGATAATTTTATTCCGATCCTCAATCTTATATTATACGAAAATCGATTTTGTGCCAAAAATTCCAAATAAGAATAATTTGTATTTTTTATGTTACTTTTGTATGTCTTGTCTGGTAGGCAAAAACAAGTTTATCCCTGAATACACGCATCCATTTAATTTATAGATTGTGTTATTCTAAAGATAGCAAATACTTTGATTAAAGTAACATACATGCAATGTATGTTTATCCGATATACGTATTACATAGTTAACTATAATTAGCCGGATCCCTCGTGAAATACTCAGTTGATACGGCCTAGCATCTCTGAGGGTAATCTTTAACCCCTTAAACAATCATCAGTAAACAATCAAGTACACTCAATCTGCCGGCTCTAACTAGGAGAGAGTACAGGAAACATGTCTCACAGTGAAGACTCGTGGAAGCCAGTCCCGAACACCTGTCTACTTCTCACAGATCTTTGAACTGGCGCCAGACCCATGCACGTAATTCTCTTCCATAGCATCCCGGAGAAGCGCGTGTTTATTGTGTACACATAAAGTATGCCACAGCACACAACGACGACGGACTATCACGCTGCTTAGCCGTTACTGTAGCCGTCGCAGTTACTAAGGGCATCGGACGTCCGTGACCCTTCGCTGCACAGAGATGGCTCGAATCGTTAATCGTTGCAGGCAACTCAAACTTCTACAGACGGGAGAGTAAGGACTGAGATTTGAGGATTTGATCGGAGATAAAGCACAGTGGTTGATTGATTATCGTTTAATCTGGTGATTATGGAGGCTGCCCTCTTTCGGGTCGTGCTACACACCTGAATGTGAAAATATTATCCCCTAGATTAAATACCTGCTGTCAATAGGGTACGATTGTGTTACTGATTGGAGAGCCAACGTGACCAGTTTGGTTTTTATGACTTCCAGGAACCAGTCGCAGACTCGAGGATGAAGACACATCTGACTACAATATTAGCACTCATAGCAACTTTGGAATATGTTCAAACATTCCCGATGAAGGTAAGTCCTAAGAAATATGTTACTATTAAGTGTGTGTGTGTGTGTGTGTGTGTGTGTGTGTGTGTGTGTGTGTGTGTGTGTGTGTGTGTGTTGTGTAACGCCTCACTCATCAATATTCCACTACTGCTAAAGAACATTTAATACCAATATATAAAACTTTAAAAAAGTTAAAAAGTCACATAAAGAATATCATACCTGTTCTGATTTTACATATTCACAATAGTCAGTATATCAAGGAAAGAGAATGTAAACATGTTTAAGGAACGTATAGAAGGTGAGTGTGAACTCCATGTCGGCACACTAGTACGCCGCGTACAGCTATAGGCCTCCCGCTTCTGAAAGCACTCACTGAATGTTATTTCATTGCAAAGTTTTCTCAAGACATTTTAAGTCACACTGACTACCCTTGAATTTCCGGAAATAACTTGACTGTTAAGCAATAGGGCGCTGACACATTGTGTGTGGTATGTCTGCTACTGACAGAACTATGCTGAAGGATTCCACTCCCCATACGCAGTTGGTGTGTAGTTTAAGTACAGGATTAAATTCTCTGGAAATATTAAGGATTTATGTATTCATATTGTAAGCTGGCATTTATTTTTAAAATCACGGCGAAGGTACTCAGTACATCACGTGTTCATCATGAACGAGTGGAGAGGCATTCACCCGCATGTACTGTAGAAAGTGTTTTATGAGATAAAGGTTGAAAGAATGTGGAAAAGAAATAGAACAGAAATGGAGGAAAAGTATTTTAGTGTTAAAGGCTAACATTTCCTGTCTGTGTAAACTAGCACATATATGTGTGTATGACTGAAATATCACGCATATACCAATAATGTTTTAATGGTATGTGCCAGCAACCAGCAACCTACAAGTACTTCGTACTGAATGAGATGTGGCTAGTACAGTTGTACTGCGTACTAAGCTACATGGCAACTCTCCCCACGCTCATTGCTCCAAGCAGCTGATTGCAGTGTTCACGTGGTAAGGTACAATGAGGTGGGATCAGCACGGCAGTTGTCCATGGGAGGACTGCAGTGCACGCATCTATAATAGTCGTTGACGCAAGTGTCTTACTGAGTAATTTGGTTGATCTCATCCTTGTAGTTGACCTCAACTCACTGTGTCGTATAAACAATAGTGTGCCTAAATCTGCTCCTGTCTAACGCCTCCTTAATCTTGTGGAGCATTTCATTTTCTCTTAGTTCGTTCTTCTTTGATGAAGATGAAGTTGAGCTGACGTGAAACTTTCACCAGGGAAACACTGTCGGGAGGTTTCTCCCAAATTACCCTCTGACCTCTCGTCGTGGTGCCAATGGGAATCTCCCCTTTACCAGATCGCGGGAGATGTACTTGGTACATAAACACCTGGGGAATGAAAGTATACACCCATATTTGACGCTGTCTAAAATGAAACAAGAAATGGTTATCCGATGGTGATGTGTTTGATACGGGTATCATAGTTGTGTTTTAGACCTTACATTTGCTGTGTTTCGGAGTTTTTTTAGCCTAGTTACTTTTTGTCACGGTTCTTATTTTTTGGTCAAATCCAGTTTTCAGGTGTATGCTTTCTTTTGTCCGACAGTTGATTACTATGGCCTGTTATAATTGGCATGTTTTAAATACGAATTTCTATGTTGGGAGGTCGGGTAGCCTAGTGGTTAAAGCGTTCGCTGGTCACGCCGAAAAGACCAGGGTTTGGTTCCCGACATGGGTACAATGTGTGAAGCCAATTTTAGGTGTCCCCTGCCGTGATATTGCTGGAATATTGCTAAAAGCGGCCTAACCATACTCACTCACTCACTGTCGTCAATGTCCAGTGCAATCAATGTAATGCAACGTATGCACAAATACGTATAAGAAGTTCAAATGAAACTATAACCACATCATTATCATTTTTTTTTCTTATCCCATATCATCCAAAACCAAATTATCATCTTATTTGAGACATAAGATGAAATTAAAACTATTTGGCAAAGGAAAGTATACATAAGAAAATTGGATTTGACAAAACAATTACAAACGTCATCAAAACGTTAGTAGCCTACAACCAGTCTCCGAAACACTGCAAACCTAAAGTCCAGATCATTATTATACCAGTATCAAATACACCACCATCGAATATCCATTTCTTGTTTGTTTCAGTTTTAGCCGCCATCAAACATAGGTGTTTATCCTCTTTAGCCAGCCAGTAAATTCTACACTGATGCAAATGTGTGGTTCATTACACTGTAGTATGTAAAGAAAAAAAGGCTTCCCTACATTATAGCCTTGCCGCCAGAGTTTGTCAGTTGTCAATAGTTTTAACTTAATTCCAGCTGTAATTAAAACAAAATAATAGTGTTTTGAGTGTATTAAATGGTGTTAGTTTCAGCTCAATTTAGCACATTTTATAAAGCAACAAGTACACACGGTAACCCCCTGGATACTGCTAGCACACGTGGCGCGTTATGTAAGATGTACCTCAGAGAACAGTGTCCACACCTCCGATTCGCTTTAAAATTCAAGGCTGTCATGCGGAATGGCCGCCAGAGCTCCCAATGTAAACATGGGTAATTTTCTCAACTGTGCGAACCAAACGAACTATTTTGTCCACTGTGTTTGCGCGAGCCTAATCACGACCTTTACAGCCATCGCAGGAATACCTGCATGGGGGACCCGAGGAATGAGTGGCTTGGGCAATGAGGGATACGAATACTCCGCATTGTTCACTGCATGTAACACATGTCTCTCACTGATAGTTAAATTGTAAAACGTAGTCAGATCTCGTTTACATTGCATGGTTTGAACGACTAGTTTGTACACATCTCGCGTAAAATACATCGTCGAGGTTAGTGTGGTGTTTATGTATTGAGTACTATTTCTAATACATAATAATATTGTGTATGATAATGCTGATTTGCATTTACCTTTTTTAGAATGTCCATAAAATTGTCTTATTTGTCAGTACCTTTTGTTTTAAGCGTATGTGATATCATTACAGCCTTACGTAATACTGCTCAATGTCACTGTGAATGCTGAATTGTACATACACCCTCACGCATTGAGACACGCAAACACGCAAGTATAGAGACACGCATACACGCAAGCACGCAATCATAGAGACACGCATTTACGCAAGCAATACTCGCACGCATTCAGACACAAATACGCATGGATACACGCACCACGCATGTTCCGTCATATTGACAAGAACAATTCCAAATTATTTGATTCCCCTGCACTGCATAAAGAACATACCAACGACGAACTATTGACATGCTAATCAAATGCTTCAGACACCTGTTCTATGTAAGTTACCCACGCCGCTATTTGTGCCTTCCAACATGTATTTACTTTCAATTACTTCACAATTGAGATCGTTGTTTTTACTTGTCTTCATTTAAAACGACACAGTCTATACAAAGAGCGACAGCGCTGTTGCATTCAATCTAGCCATACAGTTATGTATTGCTGGCTTGTCCCACATTTCATACCAAATGTAGTTTTTGTCTTGTACAGAGTTAGGTATACGGCTAACAATGAAGTAAAGAGTTAGTGTTTTTTTTATCAGAAATACTATCAGCAACCTCTGCTGGTCGTGAGGATCGGGTGGTCAGGCAGGGTGACTTACAGGCCATCATATCCCATTTCCGTGGATCGATGCTCATGGTGTCAATCACTGGGTTGTCTGGTCCAGACTCGAGTATCCACATATCGCAATCATCCGGCTGGAACATTGCTGAGAGCGTCGTTAAACAACACTCTTACATCTAAGCTAGGTCTTACATTATATGGTGGAACTCCCAAACTCATTGATATTGTTAGCTCGAATACGTTGATATCGTTAAATCGAAAACGGGACAACGTAATTATATCGTTTAAACCTTTGTAACTCTGTAGTCCTGACAGCATCTTATGAATAATATGACCAAACATCGGCATTCCTCTTGTCCTGAACTCCGGGTACCTCGCCATCGTATAGCTGGACTATTGACGCGTGTGGTTACCAACAAACACACACACAAAAGTACCACATCAGTACTGAGTTCTGTTCGAGATATTTTCTGAAGGTCTATCATGTCAGTATATTTTAGTGGCATTTGTTGGTAAGAGAGGCTTTCATCCACATTCGACAAGACCAGCCTGTTTCATTTCCACTTTGTTGTTATCTCTTGTGGCTATAAAAAACAACAAACAACTATAACTTTGAAAATGTATAGATTTTCTACAACATTTCTGAATATGTTTCTAGGTATTTTTAATGCCCATAGAACATTAAGTAATTGTTAATGTACCTTCCGTGGCTCATACACATAAAACAGAGTTACGAGTGACGTTAATTATTAGTCCATAATACAGAAGTAGGAAATAACAGGTATATATGAATATCGGAATTGTAATATACATCTGACATGTATTCTTCTTCCACATACATTATATATCCATGTATGGCGATTTGTAAATGCTCTACACACGCACACACGCACACGCACATGCACACACACCTGCGCGCACGCACGAGGTGAGACACTCTCGAAGTGACGTTACAACCAGTAAGACACTCGTGGGTGATGTTACAGTCAGTGAGACACTCATTAGGTGATGTTACAATCAGTGAGACACTCGTTAGGTGATGTTACAATCAGTGAGACACTCGTTAGGTGATGTTGCTGTCAGTGAGACACTCGTGGGCGATTTTAGTCAGTGAGACACTCGTTAGGTGATGTTGCTGTCAGTGAGACACTCGTGGGCGATTTTAGTCAGTGAGACACTCGTTAGGTGATGTTGCTGTCAGTGAGACACTCGTGGGCGATTTTAGTCAGTGAGACACTCGTTAGGTGATGTTGCAGTCAGTGAGACACTCGTGGGTGATGTTGCAGTCAGTGAGACACTCGTGGGTGATTTTAGTCAGTGAGACACTCGTTAGGTGATGTTGCTGTCAGTGAGACACTCGTGGGCGATTTTAGTCAGTGAGACACTCGTTAGGTGATGTTGCTGTCAGTGAGACACTCGTGGGC